CGCTGAAACATGAGCCCCACTGTACCATGCAATTTCCATATTCGAAATTTTCCATTCAGCCGATAGTTTTGGAGTTAGAGCGCTGTATCACTAAGGCTGGGACACCCTGTATACACCAAAGTATCCATTGGCATTAAAGGCCACCAGTGTGCACCTGATAGGACGTTAAATTGATGAAAAACTCAAAAACACACGGATCATAGTTCCATTATCGATTGCAACAGTCTCAGATACGATAAGCAATATCATCGTCCAATCTTCGAGCCGCCGTTAGGAAACGGGAATAGTTCACGTGACGGAAGAGTACATCAGCCAAAATCAACTTCTGGCGATGCTGTCAACCGTCGGGACACGTAACACCCAATCACTCGAATTTGCATTTTCCTTATTCCGGAGGCCGCCGTGGCTACGCCTCTTGTCTGCGAAAGAACAACTGCCATTATTGTCGCACGTTCAAGGATAAACGTTGGTTAACGGTCAGCAAAGGAGGCTCGAATGACGCTGGTCGTTTCATTCGAGGCGCAGGATTCTCCTCGATTCGTCGCGAGGAATTGTTCGACGCGATTCCGAGTCTTTTTGCGCTCTAGTGCTTTTTAACGAGGGCATTTCTGACCGTAAAACGCCTGCGGGCCGTTTGAAATTTCCAACGATAACAAATTGCTAATAAATCGGACGCGGTGACGGCACCAGCTGGGTAGCCTTAGGAATTCTTTTATGCAACGCGACTTCATTATAGATAACGCTCTGTTAGATAATGTAACTGGGCATTTCGCCTGACTGGTTTCCACGATTTCGCTTGTAATATACACGGTTCGCCCATTATCTCTAAGTAATAACTAGGTGGAGCAAGATAAGGGAAGCTCGTCCTATATAATTCGTCGAAAACTAGATCGCAACACCGACGTTGGGAACTTTCGATAGAAGTGTTTTAAGAGATTCCGTGGCTGGGCGTTCGATCGCATTATCTAATGGTATCTCGCTCGTATAAGACGGTCGACCGTCTATATTTATTTATTTACGTTGGATACCCTGTTAACGTCTTACATAAAGTGCATTTGGAACGAAACATAGCACGCGTCGAGCGCAGACAGGCTGCGGGTGGCTCCGAGCGGATCGACGACAGAGACCAACCCAAACTTCTACTTTTAATTTCCGATTAAGGAAGGAAAAAGTTTAACATTATCAATCTCGAGAAACTGATGTTTTCTTTTCAAACCTCGTGTTTTTCGTACGAATGGATAATATCTAAATATACGAACGTAGATCTTAACGCTGATTTAATACACAGCTTATAGGCAGTCTCATTTTTTATTCGACAATTCTAAATTTCACGTTTATCCATCCCTGACCTAAAATGCTCGCGTCCCTGTTTTATATTCGAGTGGTCGACCCATTTAGACCTGGAACTAAATTCGTTGTCGCTTTATGAATTATTTTGCTGAACGTTGTTCTTTGTTGTGTGCAGTATTATAGATCTGAACGGGTTAATTGTCGTTCTCCGTTAAAGTGGAGAACCAGTCGCTCAATTATCAGTTCGTTTAAAACTGATAAGAACTGTGACTAACGATTGCCTCTGGCTGGATCGACGTCGTTGCAGGTTGGCGGTATCTTTTTCTGAAGATCCATGCGATCCGATCGATTATTTGACTTGTGCATTCTGTATCGTGCAATTAACAATTAAAAATATGCAATTAAAACAATGAAATTAACATAGAGAGAACGATACGTGTTAGAGATGCTTGTAAAATAACTGAAACTATGGTTAGTTTTCTCGGTGATTCAGATAGTTTTTAATTATTAGTCTTGTAACACGTGTTGACAGCTTAATATTGTTATCATTACATTGCGTATACTTGTGCATTTATAAATATGCAAAAAGATACAAGGATGTGTAGAAATGCATAAATATAGAAAATATGGAAAAATACACGTTGCAACATTTAGAAGACAGAACGTATCCGAATTTACGCTTCTGTTTTTCATCTACGCGTATAAAAATATGAATTTTCATAAACATCCGCAGTCTAGTTATCATCCAGTGACAGGCCTATCCTTTTCCTTGCCAAACTCCATCAGTGACGGGAGCCTCTGCGTTGAATTTATCGTATAATTTCTTTTTCCAAACGTAATTGTACTCGCGAGCATATGTATCGCAATTAGTATTATTAAACGTTATTACAAAACGGATAGGTGCAGTGTATCATACTCAGGTTGGTAGAATTCGATTAGTTAATGTATTGGAACAGCGAGGAGAGCGTGGGTGCAATATGCGGGCACGTAAGTGTGACACGATACCGATTCCTCGCTTTAAGCGATGCAATCGATGACGTCAGCGGCGGTTTAACGGCACAAAAACATCGCAACGGTGAAAAAAAAATGACATACACTCCCTCCGATTGCGCGCGATATCTTTTTCGCGACGGTTTTCCTCGATTCGTCAGAGTTGACGTCTTGTCGAGTGGGAAAACGCTAATCTAAATAAACGTTTCGAATAGGAAGTACGTTGAGAAGTCTTGTATTTTTCGTAAACTATATTAAATTCTTGATCCTTATTTTATCGTTGAAATTTCCTCCCAGAGTTAGTTTCAATTGATGTTCGTTCCAAAGTCCAGAGAATTTCTTCACACGTTGGTAGATCGGTTTTGATCCATACTCGTTTTTTTAATTATTTTATTTCAGGTCACATCAAGTACACAGTTATTAGTGATCCTGTCGATGGTTACAATTCAATTACAGTTTATCAAATATATTTAATATAGTTACTAATTTCAGAAATTTGTTTTTGTTAAGAATTGCCTGTATAATATTTAGAAGTTTTAATTCAATTCGATCCTGTTGCATTTCTTCGACGATTCATATTTTTGTTATTAAGGAAAGGATTTACAGTTGAAATTAAAAAAAAAACATTAATCCATTTAAATGGGACAACCTCTGTTCCTTAGATATTGGTCATGACGACGTTAAGACAATCTGAGAAAGGTATAAATAAGGGCCAGCAAAGGTCACGGAGTGTCATAGATCAATGATTCCTATCTCCCAAGGGAAAAAGTTGCGTAACGCTGACGTTACGGGTCTAGGTCAGATTTGATCACCCTTCGCGTTTAATTGGCGCCGCGTTGAGAGTATAAAAATGATGTCGTCCCACATAAAAAGTTAGCACTGGCCTCGAAGCAACCTCCACGCGACCATCCGCGGAGAAATTTATTTCCAACTCCTCTACGAACCTGAGATGGGCACAATTCTCATCGAACAGTTGTCGAGGAACAAAAACAATGTTGAACTGAATAATTACTTCAGATTAGTCATTCTCATTGAAAAAAAATAACTTCTTTCCTTATTCAAATTTTCCTCGAAACTGTACAGTTTGGTCGTATTTTTGGAATTATCGCAGATATTTTAAGCGTCGATAAGAACGCGAGTCGCGAATAATGTTTTCCGCACAACAAGGTAAATGGCATAAACGAGGATGACGTCGCGTTTCGCAGTAGAAATTGCCCCTGCTGTGTAATGGTCAGACTTGAAATCGTAACTCGAGATCTTGACGTAACGGTGAACAAGGTGGTCCCTTCAAGCTTTATTAAAACGTTTCCTGCCTCGGGTTTTAAACCTTTTTCACCATATTAAAAAACTAATCAGTGCAGAGATGAGTAAGGTAAAGGAACTTGTGTTAGAAAAATGATCTTGAACTCCATCAGAAACAAAAGTATTGTAGATTTAATTAATAAATGTATATTATGCATACATTCCCTTCTCTTATTTTTAATATTCTATTTAACTAAAAATTTACTATTCTTTTATACGTCGAAGAGGAAAAAAAAACAGAACTTGTGTTAGAAAAATGATCTTGAACTCCATCAGGAACACAAGTGTTGTAGATTTAATTCAATAAATGTATATTATGGATACATTCCCTTCTCTTATTTTTAATATTCTATTTAACTTTAAATGTACCATTCTCTTATACGTCAAATAGAAAACAAAACGTCAAGTCGGAAATGTTTTGCATGAAGCTTGCTCAGCCTGGCATGATTAAAACGACCACAATGAAAATGAGTTAGCGTTCGAACCGGAAGAGGGACGTTGCTCGAGAAACTGTCTAGCAATTTCTCCGATTGTCGATGGTAGAGGCAACGTCTCTTTCGTTGAGGCTTTTGCCAGGTTTCAATGGGGGCAAGATCGAGGCCGAGATCCATCGAGCAACCTTTCCGAGGTTTGATAATGTACCCGTCAGGAGGGGAAAAACTGTGGACGGACGATATCCGACACAATGCGCCTTGTTCGACATCGTGACACGTGGGTTAACCGATTCAGAAAGCAATATCGACGAATCGCGATACAGGGAACGCGAATAAAAGAAGAAAGCAAATCAACCGACAGTTTGCGGCTCACGTACCTACGTTCCTTTTTTTCGTTGGTTTACTTTCAGAAGCTATAGCGACTCGTCGCTCCGATCGCTTCTGTCTATCAATGAGTGCCTCGAGACTCGAAGCGTTGAACCATGACGACAGTCAGTTAACCATAATCGACGAGCCGACCGTCTTGTGACAGTTCATTTATTGCTAGATGTATAGGCTCGATCGAAGGACGCCGCTTCGCTTCGCAGTCTTGATCTTGAGTCGTCACGGTGTTACGCAAGAAACATTCCCACGTAAAACAGTAAAACTCCGAGTTTAAAAATGTCAAACTTACGAAATCTAATTCCCTGATAAACCAACGAATAATTGGTTTATTACACCTCGATATAAGTTCAATCTACCCACTGCTCTTACTAAAAAGATACGATTCGCAAACAAACGAACGAGGTCCACGTGTTATCGACCACACATCTGGAAGCTCGAAGAACGGCCGGATAAAAATTCTTTCTCCAAATGCTGTTGCACAACGTTCAAATGTTGCCAGCCATCGCGTCTAATAATAGTTTAACGCCACGTTACCCATTTAATGCTACATAGCTAAGACGGCGACGTATGTATCGATAAGACGGCGTTGCTCGATTGCAGAGAGGACGACAGGTATGCAAAGGTAGCGTGGAAAGACTTGAAGGTCGGTGACCTGGTTCACCTCTCCAACAACGAACTGGTACCAGCCGACGTGCTGCTCTTGCGGAGCAGCGATCCCCGTGGCGTGGCTTATATCGACACGTGTAACCTAGACGGAGAAACTAATTTGAAGCAACGACAAGTCGCCAGAGGTTTCGTCGATCTACAGGACACCTTCCAGCCCGCCAAATTCCGATCCGTGATCGAGGTCGACCAACCCAGCACTAGGATTTACAGGTAACGTTTTATTCCAATTCACGACGACCTTAACCTTCCTATGGCTGTGGGAATTCTTGCGGTTTCCGAGCGTTTAACGTGCACGGAATGATCCGTGGATCTAGAGCAAGCCGGTTTATTGCGATTAGAAATTAATGTTAAAAACGAAGGTGACGAGTGGACTGCGAATGTTTTGGAAATTAATATTCTCGCAGATGTAGGGAAAGAATTGAAACTTAAATGAAAGTGTATCTTATCTTCTAAACGGTATAACGTGTGTATTATTATTGATATTTTATGTATTTTTGCATTTGGCCACACTCCCATAGATTTCCCCATATATTCACTTGCCATCAAATAAACGCATAAACATCCGCAGTCTAGGAAATAGGGCTCGATAATTTTCAGGACTGATGTAATTGTAGAGTGCACAGTTTGTACAGTAGCATTTATAATTTTTGTTCCTTTTAATGGAAACGTATGTTTTGTTTGTATAAATCGATACTTTTATTGGTCCCGTGTATAAGCGTTGTATAAAATCGAGAGTCCGTTGAAAATTGCAGGTTTCACGGGGCAGTGGTTCATCCAAATGGGGGAAGAGTGCCCGTTTCCACGGAAAACCTTTTACTCAGGGAGTGTTTGTTGAAAAACACCGACTTCGTGGAGGGCATAGTGATATACGCCGGGCACGAGACGAAAGCGATGCTGAATAACGGCGGACCTAGGTACAAGGTAAAGATCCATCCATTTAGATGCAACGGAACACGCACGAGGCCTCGCGTATTCTGACTCGGAACACGACTTTTTGTTCGTTGCATCGCGGGCTTTCTTACATTGCTCGACTCGGCTCCAATTTGACCTCGGTACCGTTCAGCGTTAACTAGTCTGAATCAGTGGCTTTCAGAGGTCGAGATGGGCCCAGACCACTCACCGAAAACGTTACTTGTTGCTAAGTTGGGGATTCATGCTTTTCTACAGACATGGATAGATCACTTAAAGTCGAACGAAAATGTGTGCTATCTTCTAAATAAATACAATATGTATTATCATTTAGACTTCATGTACTTCTGTCATTATATACAATTACTTTCGATACTACTTATCATTAAAGCCAACACTCTAGAATCATCGAGACCGTGTCGTCATGTGCGATAATTCAGGTTTTTTCACAACAGAAAAAAGATAGTAAACTATCGGGTAACTGCAATGCGTTAAAGAGCATTGACTACCTGGCGAGAAAAGAACCGTGTGTTGGAAGTGATACTATCATTGAATCACGAATAAATTTCGAGTGCCTTGAAAATGTTAATGCAAATTGGTATTTTTACAGACATAGATAGATCACCAAAAAGTCCAATAACAATGTATCTTATCTTCTATATGTTGTAATATTGGGTTGTCCAGAAAGTTTGTGCCAATTTTTAAGAAAAATTCAAAGGCAAATTTGAATTTTGTTATATATTTATTGAATTATATAAATACCATTTTGTTCCACGACCTTTCCACCTTTTAAGGGATGTACCCATGTTAATCGTTTTCAACCATTCCAATATAAACAGACTGTATATAATGTATATAATGTGTATATATGTATATATACTGTATATAATGTAAGGGTGCATAAAGTATTAAAAATAAAATATTGCTCATCCTTAAGTACTATTCTTAAAAAATTCATAAATGGCAAAGTATAGAAAAAAAAATGTTTATGTTTTGACACATACTAAAGAACAGTTTAATGAACACATGACAAATTTTTTGAGATCATAAAAAAAAAATGGCGGCGGTTCGAAAATTTTGGTTAAAGCCTTCGGCACGAAACGCGCGTGGGCTGTTCCATCGTTATATTCTTTAGGTTGCATGTGAAAAAGAAAAAAAAAATATTACATTGTTTCTGGAGTTTGTCGCAAGAGAGTAGCAATTGGATTTTTTTTTTACCATTAAGAAAATCATGGTGAGCCGAAGAAATTTTTTTTTTATTTTTCATCGAAATTTCACGAGGAAAATCGTCAATAAAAAATAAACTAATCAAGTAATCGCAAAAATCCATTGCTACTCTTCAGATAATGTATCTAAAAGTAGTGTGTACAAATTTCAGAGCAATCGAACCGATAGTTTACGGAGATGTACGTTGTACCATTTCGAAAAATGTAGTTTCGAGATAATCCCAAAAGAGAGTAAACGTGCGGTCCGATTGCTCTGAAATTTGTACACGCTACTTTCAGATACATTATCTGAAGAATAGCAATGGATTTTTGCGATTACTTGTTTCATTTTTTAATTAATTTTTTTTTAAGAATAGTACCCATCTGGCGAGCGCTCAGGGTAGCCAGACGCCTTAAATCATGAACTGATCACCATGAAAACTATGCATCACCTATATCCTTCCTGTCAAACTTCGAGCCTCCAAGGCAAATAATCTGAATCGTCCTGCGACTCGATCATGACCAGGACCAACCATTGTCTTACCGTTGATTGTTCTTTAGCGTTCCCGCCTGGAGAAACAGATGAACAGGGACGTGATATGGTGCGTGGTGATCCTGGTGGTGTTGTGCGTGATCGGCGCGACCGGTTGTCGCCTGTGGCTCTCCGACTACTCGGGTCTGACGTTCGTCCCGTTCATCCCGGTCCTTCAGGACCCGAGTTACGAGAGCATGCTGACGTTCTGGACGTTCGTGATCATTCTTCAAGTGATGATACCGCTTAGCTTGTACGTCACCATAGAAATGGCGAAAGTGGGACAGGTTTATCACATCGGGCACGATATCGGTCTCTACGACGCGGATACGGGTCGGCCAGCCGAATGTCGTGCGCTCAATATCACCGAGGAATTGGGTCAGGTAAAGCAGATTGATTGTCAACTGGCGCGTGGTGTCTATTAAGAACGTTGTGGGGTGAAACGTAGCCTGATCGATGGTAATAGCAACTCTGGTGTAACCAGGGTTTAATAGACGAGACATGGAAATATAATCAATAGCATCGTTAAAAATTCCCAGTGAAAACATTGTTACTCTTTTTATTTTCACTTAATCGCAGCGGATATATATCTACCTTCAAGAGATTAGTCATTTCTCTTATCTAGCTATTTCAACACATTGCAATCGATGAAACAGTCCTCTACTTCCCCAGAACGCTTCATTATTTAAACTTATTATTTCCTGAAATACAAATCAAAATTAAACCATTATTTCATGGAATGATCCTATGTTATCCATCCCGGATTATAAATGCTGTTCGCGCTCCCTGATTAATCACAGCGATGATTAGCCATGAATATTTCTCGCAATTAACTAGAGTAGCCCTCGCGAAGCAATGAATTACTGCCAAAACCTGGGCGTGATCTCGATTAAGGTGCACGTTTTCTTCTTGTTACGGCAGGTGCAGTACATATTCTCGGATAAAACAGGGACACTCACGGAAAACAAAATGCTGTTTAGACGATGCGCGGTGGGCGGGCAGGATTACTCGCACACCGGCGACGACGACGAACATTTGGTACCTTCCTCGAGACTGAAGGAAGACCTCCTCATAGGTACATTTAGACAACACCTACAAGAATTCCTAGTTGTGTTAGCGATATGTAATACTGTTGTGGTCAATTCTCAACCCCATTACGACACCATGAACTCCAGCGGTGTGATCGAAGAGCCTCAGAAGAACGGCGACGAGACTGGAAGGTTTGTATATGAATGCTACTCCATCCTCTGACTAGGAAAATCTTCTAATTCTTCATTTCACGCCTTTATTGCGCGTAATTTTAACGGTATAGTAACAGCGAAAATATGGCAAAGTGTAATCAAAAGGTGCGCGAGAGGCGAGGAGCAGCTAGAGTTCTGCTTTGAAACCTAGTCTCGCCATAATTCGTAGAGTAGAGTAACAAGTAACAAGTTTTAAATACGCCCGATTTCATGTTTTAGGTATACAAGAATGATAGAGAGCAGGAGTTTGACTCCTTCGCCGGTCATTCCTCTGACTACCTTTTCCCATCCAACAAACAGTCCCGATGAGAACGTGTCTTCGATATCTTCCATGGTGGAAATGGAGTCTGTACTCAATAACACCTCGAAGTTGTCCAACAAATTTCCCAGGTTGGTATTCGTTACTTATTTTGCTGTACTGCTTTGTTCAGGAACAAAGGAATCCCTTGTTAAATCTATATTAAATCATCATTCTTTCGAGCTCCTGCTCCTCTTATAAATATTAAGCGTTGAATAATCGTTTGCAGACCAAAATTCCTGAACGTCACTTCGATACCGAGCCTAGGAATGGGCCTGCTGGGAAGGAAATGGTCTCCGAATGGAGCACACAGAAGACGCAGTCCGCTCAGTCCCGTTATCGATGCCAGCGGGAAGAACGGAGACGAATTGTTACCTACGCCTGCGATTTACGAAGCGGAAAGCCCGGACGAACTCGCGTTGGTGAACGCGGCTCGCATCTACGACGTGAAACTTCTTAAACGAACGGCCCGTACCGCGATCGTGTGTCTGCCGGATAAATCTATCATTACTTTCGAAATTCTCCATGTAAGCTGGTTACGGACAAACGCACATTCTTTTCGTTCTTGCGGCGAATTACTTTCTCCGTGTTGCATCAAATAAAGTGATTCGTCTCGTATATCTTTTTAAATATTCAACCTTTCTATACCAGACGCAATGAATTGCAGGTTTTGCCGTTCGACTCTAACAGAAAGTGTATGTCCATATTGGTGCGTCATCCTCTTACGAAGGAGGTGGTGTTGTACAGCAAAGGTGCCGATAGCACTATATTGTCATCGCTAACTTCTCAGGAAGAAAACTCCGTAACGACGATAAAAGTTCGTCAGCATCTGCAATCGTACGCTCGTCAAGGCCTTCGAACATTGTTAATGGCTAAGAAGTCCCTGACTGCGCAGGAATACGAGGCTTGGAGACAAACGCATGCGGAGGCCGAACTCGCAATGGAGAACCGCGAGCGTCGTATCAAGGACTCGTACGCGAACCTCGAGTCCCATTTGACGCTTCTGGGCGCAACTGGGATCGAGGACAAACTCCAAGCTGGCGTACCCGAGACCATGGCTACCCTGGTGGCTGCAGGAATCGTCATTTGGGTTCTAACAGGTACGCGTTTCGCGAAACGTATTAAAATATGAGCTAAAATAAAGCTAAAGCATATAGCTAATAGACGCTTTAAATTGGAAGGGGACAAGCCAGAAACCGCCGTGAACATTGCATACTCGGCGCGTCTCTTTTCGCCCGCGATGAAGTTACTATGGCTGCAAGCAAGGTCCAAGACCGTCGCTGAGAGCTTGATCCTCGGCTATCTGGAGTCTGCGCAAAAAGAAAGCATAGTTCATGGTAACGAACGGGGAGGACTCGACAGTATCAGGGACTTTGGAGTGTTTAATCGAGATCCAGCAGAGAACGATGCCCACAGGGTAGACAGTCCATGGCCAAAGCAACGGGCGCTCGTTGTTGACGGGAAAACTTTGACCGTTATCCTTGATCCGCGATCAGGATTGACCCGGCCGTTTCTTGAATTAACGAAGATGTGTTCCAGCGTGCTGGCTTGCCGGGCTACGCCTCTTCAGAAGGTGCGGTGAATTTAATCTTTTTGCCCTGGTATTCTGTAATTCTTCGTCTTGCTTAAATATCGTATTATTATGTTTCAGGCATACATAGTGCGTATAGTGAAGGAACAATTGGGAATGAGAACACTAGCGATCGGCGATGGTGCGAACGATGTTAGCATGATACAGACAGCGGATGTTGGGGTCGGTATCTCGGGACACGAAGGTACACAAGCCGTCATGGCCGCAGACTTTGCCATTACACGATTCTCGATGCTTAGCAGGCTTCTGCTGATGCACGGCCATTGGTGTTACGATCGTTTGTCTAGGATGATCTTGTACTTCTTTTACAAGAACGCCACCTTCGTCTTCCTCGTGTTTTGGTTTCAGGTAGATGTCATTTAATATACACTATGATATAACAACGCTCAGGTGACAATGATTTATTATTTTCCGTAGCTGTACTGCGGTTTTACTGGAACAGTTATGATGGATCAGATTTACTTAATGTTGTACAACCTCATGTTCACGTCAATGCCGCCGCTGGTATTAGGGGTATACGATCGAGTAGCCTCGCCTGGTGTTCTGCTGTCCATGCCCCAACTCTACAAACGGGGACGCCTTGGACTTATCTATCAACCGCATTCGTTTTGGCTGACGATCTCTGATGCATTGTATCAAAGTATCGTTATCTTTTTCATAAATCAGTGTGTTAGTACAGCCTTGAAGTACTTTAAGATGCCGAAAAGCAGCAAATCAGTGTATAATAAATTCTTTCGTTTAGGTATACTATGACACGACTATTGACTTATGGGAATTCGGGACCACCGTGATGACATGTTGCATCGTTGTTATGCTGGGCCACGTTGCCATAGAGACGCGATCTTGGGTAAGATCTTTATCTTCCGATAAAGAACGGTATTTAAAGTGACTAATACGGTATATTACATGATATGGTGTTATTTCAGACCATAATTCACGTCTTTGCCATACTGGGGTCGTTATTCGTATTTTTCGGCTTCTGTTTAATTTACAATGTGGTGTGCGTTAATTGTATGGGTCTACTCTGCTCATACTGGGTTATGGAAACGGCTGTAGTGAGGCACACCTACTGGCTTACAGTTATACTTACCTGTGTTCTGGCATTGTTACCTAGGTAAGAATATCAAATATATACATATAGATACGCAGTGAAAGGATGAATAATGGAACGACTACCCTGCAATACACTTTTGTATTATTTTTGTCTTCAGGTTACTGTACAAAACCATACAAACTACCCTATCTCCAGATCTCACGCAAAGTGCCACGTTTAAGGTAGCATCGAAAAGCGGAAGCCATCGACAACGAATCGCCGAGAGAAGCGGGAATAATTTCATCGCTGGATGGTCGCGTTCAACCCAGCATGCTACCATAAGGTATCTTATTTACTGCAGAGTATGAAGTACTTAATAATGGTTATTTACAATAGCTCCATCTATCGTACTCCTTATGTTTCAGAACTGGAACTAAAAATGATACGATGACAACAATCGTTGCATGACATAACCTAATATGTCGATCGAGACTGTCGGCACGCTGTAGCAGAACAATTGAAACTGTTAAGATTGCTTCGTTAAAGTGGCCGAGAAAAAAAGCAAAGTCCATTGCCGCATTTCAACCTTTACTGTTCCTAAGGATCGAAGAAGTATTGTTAGGGGATCTAAGTTAATCCTAATGTGCATTTTCAGTTTCAATCGAGAAATTCTTGACTTTATTGAAACCGCGCTGTTCGTTGCGATGATCGTCTATTCGTATCGATTAGTGTTTTCTAGTTGAATCGAGTGGCCTTACATTTCAGACTGCTGTTCGTTGCATTTGATGGCTGTGACTTTTAGGGACCAAGACTGTTAGTCCAATAGTAACGTCGATACCCATCGACGGCTCGAGTGAAATAATGCATACGGGATTTTTCGGGTCCGTGTACACGCACGACGAATTAATTAAAAAAATAATTCGGGTCGTAATTATCGTCTTAGAAGTAAGCACCAGAAAACGCATATTGTAAAAAGATACATGAAGTGTATATTGTCACGTATGAAGTTCATGTTGTATAAATTATATATCTACATTATTATAACACAGCGAGTGTTATACATATACATACTTTTCACGCTCGCGACTGTATTATTATTGTAATTTTGAAAATGTACGCGCATACGTGCAGTCTATCAGCATAGAGGAACTATCAAACATATATATGTATATTGAACGTTATCGATGACGCATTGCACGCGTTGACATAGTATTTTGATATACAATTGATAGCGATTGCGTGCATGTAGCCATGTCAATAAAATCGAGTGTTCTTTAAGCTATTACGTTTCATTAGTGTTAAACTTCTGACGAATCCTCTACCTCTATAATATAATAATAATAATAATAATAATATCTTATTTACGGGCAATCTGCCCTTGATATCAAGTACAATGTAATAACAATGCCAACAAGAAAAACAAAACAAAAATGGAGACAATTATGGTATCTTATAATGTAACGTGTTCAAACTTGATTGCGCATCTGCAAAATTGCAACAACTGATCTTTTAAATTTAATTTATATTAATTTCTTTCTTAACTTGCTAGGGCCTATATATAGATGTATACCGCGTGTTTTCTTACTTGCGAGAAAGCGTGCCCATCTAGCGGTAGAGAACCTGAACTAACTTTCGGAGTTTGGTCAGCGCCTCTATCGGGAAAACGCTCAAGTTTATCGCCGAATAGTTCCTACCTGCACCGTTAGATGGCGCCATTTGTTCACTTACCGACGTGTCGACAAACTTGAGCGTTTTCGCGATAGAGGCGCTGACCAAACTCCGAAAGTTAGTTCATTATTTCACCGATAGACGGCGCCATTTGTATCATCATTTACCGACATGTCGATAATTTTGAACAAATGGCTCCATCTAACAGTGCATGTAGGAACTATTCGGCGACAAACTTGAGCGTTTTTCCGATAGAGGCGCTGACCAAAGTCTTAAAGTTAGTTCAGGCTTTCTACCGCCAGATGGCTAGTCAGTTGAATAAAACAGTTTGAATAAATAAAAGCACCTAACGGTTTTTGTTGCAATTCTAACTAATTAATTATTGTCAACCATTGAAAATGATAATTTTCGAATATCAAAAGCCTTACCTATCCGTATCCATTCAGAGTGCTGCGTCCTGTAGCTTCAGTCCTGTAGCAAGTCACATGGTTGGTACCAGAGTTCAGCATCTCGTTGGATAGAGTATCCACTCTACGATTCTCGGATTAGGGCTCATTAACCTTCTTACAGGTTTAAGCAATATTCAAAGAAACATAAGTATGACAAGAACACCTTCAAATTGATCCCTGTTGAACGCAAAAATCGGCAAAACTTTATTCACCTCTCATTTATAACCGGAAACCTTTTACCTAGATCATTTTGGCTCATGTCTGGTTCTTCAACGTGGCGATCTATGATCAACAAATTTCTCAACAGTTTGTAAGAGCATCAACGATTCAAGGACTACTCAAGACAGAGTTTCGAGGCCCCACGTGCAGTGATTTGTGCAGATTCTATAAGAACCGCGGTGAGCACCGCTGTCTGATGCGGAAACACGGGCAGAATGGCGGGGATGGGATCGAAATGTCGAAGGTGGGGCACGGGGAAATCTTTTGGCGTGCTGCGGCAACGGTTCTCTCAGTCCATGCTCGGTCTTCCTTCCGCCAAACATATCGTCGCGTTGGTGCGTACGATTCATTCACTACCTCGACTCGATCGCGATCGTGCCCGTTCGCCTGGGAGACTCGCGACCAGCTGTGCCCCTGTGAATTCTGTGAATCTAGTTTCGTCGAACGAAACGCATGTCAGAAAGGCAAAGTGCTCGATACGAACGTTACTGAAACTTCGAGTCACGGTGTTGCTTCCCTTTGTCGCGAGATTTTCGTGTCACGATTAAACGCGGGACCAAAGTTTTTGTTTTCTTTTTTTCATTTTAAACCGAAGGTATACTCGAGCTGTAACCACGTTGGACCGGTTCGATCGCATCGATAGACTTCACGTAGTCTCTGTGTTACGTTCGTCTAAATGCTTTTAGAATAAGCAGAAAGCAAAAGGATAATCGTCGATCTCTAGTGAGTTGCAGAAAGGATTCTCGAAATAGATTGGTGACATGCTTCTATTGTTCGACGATGTCACGAGTTTTAGAGGCAGGACACTGGCCCTTTTATTCCGTCCGACAGTGTAGGGGTTTAGAACGGGAATAGAGGATACTCTTATCAGCGATTACAGTTAACGTTTTAAGTAAATTCAAAAAATACTTGGGTAGTCCTATCAGCCAAGTTTAATGTTGCAGTACAACTACTCTTATTTAAACTATGTTCTCATTAATTAAAATAAATATAGGTCTCTCATGATTAACGTAATTTCTGTTCGTGAAGAAAAGGCTATCAACGCGTTGAAAGCTTGGACCGCTATAAGTTTGTATGTCGTTCGTTGAATCAGTATTCCGTTCGAGTACTGTGTTATGTTGAGGAAGTGATTAGGCATTGCAAATATTAATGCCAATACATATTTTCACTTAAACTATGATTACAAACGACTGAAGATAAAGGTCCTGAATTACTTTCTACGCGTAATAAATCGCATTACAGGAGTTTTCTGTCTTCCATTCCAATGAAGCTCTGCCCATCTCTGACCTGAAGACGACCTTGGTTGCGTCCTGTCCCGTATGCTCGATGATGCGCCAAACTGTACACAAAACAAACAGGGCCGCGCGTACGTTAATTCATTGTTTGCGAACTGGCTCTCTACGCTTTCTCTTATGCATCATTTCTCCCTCGATTATGACTGTACTGTAACACACGTGCTCGCCATCGTCGCTAGCAAAGTCATCCCTCCAACGCTGTCACGAGTACACGATAACTTGTTGTTTCACGCACTAACTGCATGGCTGGACTTGACGTGAACGTACACGAACCAATGTATCAGAAGCGATTCGCGTGCAAGGTCGGCATTGTATAATTTTTCTAAACTGAAACTTTCTATCGGGTGGTCGATTTTTCAAGTTTCACGACGGGACGTTGTAAATCGAAACCGCGAAGCAAAGCTGTGGCGGTCCTTTCAAGTAAATGATTAGAAAACAGGGCCGGCGTGATCTTTTGCGGGGCCGGGTTCAAACATTTTGCGGGGCCTGAATTCACACACTTCAAATCCTACACTTCAATTTTACAACGAGGAATTATTTATTTACAAATGCTACATATTTGGTTGTCCGAAAAGTTTCTTTCGCGAGTTGCATTCAATTATTTTCTGTGGCCGTGTTTATATAAATAGACAGTAATGTAACATAAAACATACAATATCGTGTATATATTAATTATTAATAAAACGAAAGAAACTTTTCGGACAACCTAATCTTTTTTATATGAATATTAAATAATAATACTTTGATGATTCTTGTCACGCCTTTCAATTTAATCATCGCTACTAAAAAAATGTCTTGCATTTCAGCAAAAATTGCTTCCATTTGTTAATGGTGTCATCAGTCTGTAAAAAGTTAATCGGTGCCTTTTAATTCAGTAATTTTCGTAGACCGCGGGGCCTTTTAAGGCCAAGGTTACACCAATAAAACGTGTTTTTTTTAAATAAATTTTGTTTATAGTAAAAAAAATACTTCAGAATCAAACTTTTTACACCTGAAAGTACATATATTAACTATTTGAAAAGCAAAAAAACTATTTGTAAAAAAAATTTTTTTTTTTTTTAAATGGCGGCTCTGAAAATGGCTGCTCAAACTTGTCCAATTTGTTGGCGGATGTCATCATTTCTTGGAAACGAATCATCTGAAAGCAAAAAATAAAACGGTTTCATACTTTGTATCGAATTGGCTACGGTCGGTACTACAATGAAACATTTTCACAGAAAAAAAAACAAAATGGCGGATTTTTGAATTTTTCGACCCTTTTTTTGCACTTTTAATTGTTTATAACTTTTTCAAATAACAATGAATATTTTTGGTTGTAATAACGACCATAACCAATTCGATACAGAATATGAAACCGTTTTATTTTTTGCTTTCAGATGATTCGTTTCCAAGAAATGATGACACTCGCCAACAAATTGGACGAGTTTGAGCAGCCATTTTCAGTGCCGCCATTTAAAAAAAAAGAAAAAAAAAATTTTTTTTTTCAAGTAGTTTAACATATGTACTTTCAGCTGTAAAAAGTTTGATTCTGAAGTATTTTTTTTACTATAAATAAAATTTATTCAAAATAACACGTTTTATTGGTGTAACCTGGCTTTAAATCGCGGGGCCGGGTTCCGGCGAACGCGCTGTTAGAAAATTATGGGTTTACTTGACTGAACGTTTACTTGAATGTTTGACATGATACGTAAAGAAATCAAGAAGAAGGCGAGGCACTTTCTCAAAAAAAATAAAAGAAGATTCTTCAAATTTTTTGTTTCAACGTTTTCCAATTTTCTTGAACACTAAACCTACCACGACTGGTCAAACATTTGTATAGTGTTATACAAGTATATATTAGGTAGACTGGAAAGTAATGTCGTTTCTTTTACATTAAATTCGAACAAATTTTTAATAAATTTCTATTTTTAATCATTTATGTAATCGCCTTTTGCCATTTAGTTTTCAAATTTTCAACGCCATATCGTTAAAAATCAATAAGCTGACGAGTGATGAACAAGTATTTAAAATTGCAAAAACGACATTACTTTCCAGTAGACCTAATACAATTCTCTCATACATTACTCAATGTAGTACCACGTGCAGAGCCGGCGTGACCTTTTGCGGGGCCTGGAATCACATTCAAATCCTACACTTAAATTTTACAACGAGGAATTATTTATTTACAAATGCTGTTACATATTATATATTTTTTATAAGAGGAATATTAAATAATTACACTGATGATTTTTGTCGTTCCTTTCAATTTAAACAGCGTTACCAAAAAAGTGTCTTGTATTTGTTAATGGTATCGTCAGTCTGTAAAAAGTTAATCAAAATCGGTGCCTTTTAATTCAGTAATTTTCGTAGACCGCGGGGCCTTCTAAAACGTTGATCGCCATGTCACCCACATGTGGATGACAGTGCTTTCCACTGAAGAATTAACGAAACTAATTCCGAATGTCAAGTATCAAAGGAAACGAATTTAAACCAATTTCATGAATTTTGATGAAATTACAAGAATAAATACGACCATAAATGTTTGATTATGCAGTCTCCAATAGTTTAAATAATATTTCATTTGAGTAGAAACTTTAAAGAATATTTGTCTAGCAGTCAACGTGTTAAACCAGCGGGGCCGGGTTCCGGCGAACGCGCTGAACCAGCC